GGGTACTTTTCTCTGCGAACTTGACCGAAATTCACAGGGGGGGTAATGAGCAGTTGTTAACAACGCAGGACTGTGATGGGTAGGCACACCCCTTTATAATGATGAAGGCGGGGGAGAAGGGGGGAGAGGGGGGGAGGGGGGGGAGGGAGCAGGGGGTGATGGTTGATGCAGGTGATGATGAGGATGATGATTGAATTGACGACGAGGATGAAGTTCGATGATATACAACTTGTGGTCAAAGCTGATGATTGGTGATGGATGTTTGGTGACGATAGTGGTTGATGCTGATGGTGGTTGTGATTTCTGTGCCTTTGCTGGATGGAGGACTGGATACATAGAGAAGAGTGGCACTCATGAAAGCAGCTGGACTCGACAAGTTTGAAAAAAATGATAATGAGGTTGATGAGGGGGCGGAGGATGATCAAAGTAATCCAGCGCAGCTGCTCAATTCTGCGGATGGAAAAGTCGATGGTAAGCTATTTAAAAACAAAACAAAAAAAAAACAAAAAGAAAACAGTGCGAGGTGGAAATCTGATGAAACACTCGGTCACAGCCCTCCTCGTTTGTTGCCCCCCTCTTCTCCCTCTCTCCACCTACGGTTTACCGGACAGTTGTGTTTATAATATATAATGTGTACTATTTACGAGCAGGCCGTTATGGCATATAAGGGCAGCTCTCACTGAACCTCATCAAGGTGGGGAGCCTTGTATGTGAGAGGCACAGTGAAAGGGCGAGCTAAAAGAAGAAATCAATTCAAGTAATCAGAAGAGGCAACAATGAGGAGAGAAAAGAGAGAGCTGCGTACAAAGACACAAACGAATGGTTTCGCTGTGCTCTTCATGTTTTTCGTCTTCTGGATTTTTATCGTCATTTCCAAAAAAATACATATTATAATTTTATTATTATTATATATATCCTATTCGGGAGGGACTCAAAATGTGGCGGAATTTAGTAATTACATAGGGGACGAGAGACTCTCAAAATGAGAATAGCGACTTGCTGCTGGCGGATAATGAGAATAGCAGCAACTTGCTGCTGGTGTGAAAATGAGAATAGCAGCAACTTGCTGCTGGTGTGAAAATGAGAATAGCAGCAACTTGCTGCTGGTGTGAAAATGAGAATAGCAGCAACTTGCTGCCTGGCTAAATAATGAGAATAGCAACTTGCTGTCTGGCTAATAATGAGAATAGCAACTTCCTTTCACTAAACAAATTTCAATATCAGGGGAGCCGGTATGCAAAAAGTGAATTAGGTATGAAATCGTCAAAACGGAGTTCACGAACCTTATTTTATCACATGACGATATTTGCTTGTAACTGACGATATAAAATGAAATGAAATAAATGAAATTGCTGTGGCTCAGCTGTCAATTGCATCTGGATTGAGGTATGCCCAGGTGCATGATCTGGCAATGGACATGAACTGTATGTAGGTACATTTCGCCGATGCGTCAAACTAATGTATCCAGATCAGCTAGTAACACTAATGTACTATCAGCTCTCTCTCTCTCTCTCTCTCTCTCTCTCTCTCTCTCTCTCTCTCTCTCTCTCTCTCTCTCTCTCTCTNCTCTCTCTCTCTCTCTCTCTCTCTCTCTCTCTCTCTCTCTCTCTCTCTCTCTCTCTCTCTCTCTCATGTTCTTTCTATGTGACAATCCTCTGTCTCTGTCGGTCAGTCGGTTTGTCAGTCGGTCGGTCGGTGGTCGATCCGTCCGTCCGTCGTTCGGTCTGTCTGTCTGCCTCTCTCCCCCTTCCCCCCTCCCCTGCCTTCTGCTGCTGTCCATCTGTCCCATCCCGTCCCATCCAATGCCATTCTATCATTTCCTAGCAGGTCTCGTGCTAGGTGTGCCTTTTGTACAAAAAAAAAATAAAAGTTTTAACTTTTGAAAGTGTGCTGTACGCCGTCGTACGGAGGTTGTACGGAGGTTGTACTCTACCTGAATCACCACTTTTGTTAAAAATAAAAGAAATCAGAAAATTCTGAAAAAAAATAGTTGTGATAGAAGACATTATTTGGAACTACTTTTGCCTCGGACAAAAAGTGAAATTCGCAACCGATTTCTAGATTAAAAAAAATAATAAAACAATTGTATGGGCGTACAAACGCGGGCAAAAAAAAATTGTGCGTCGTACAGGGGGCGTACTACGCAATGTCCACATACATTGTGTACAAAGGGATGCCCAGGTCCCGTTCATTTAAAAGATAAAAGGGGGTTAGTAATAATAATGAGCAAAGAAAAGGGGACAGTGGCAAATCATCTTTCCCAGACGCCCGCGGACTTTTTGCTGTTGGGAGGGTCAACCCAAACATCTTGCATGATATCGTTTTTCTTGTGTTTTTAACTTTTTATTCTTTTTTTATGTTGTTTTATACTTTTCATCTGTGCCGAGATTTGACTGGTAACAGTCGATCCCCGTGACGGATTAAAAAATCGACCACGGTTATAGAAGGGGTTTAAGGTAAAAAAATAAAAATAAAAAAAATCGACCACGGCTGATGTAACACTTCCTTCTCACAGGACTCGTTGTGTACGACCAAGATGATGGTATGATGACTACCGTAAAAACCACGGCAATAGCCTCGGATGAAGAGTGGGACGCGCGCGACGACGACAGCGGCGAGGACAGCGCGGGCGGCAACGAAGCATGTCAGGATGGGCAGGGCGGCGGTGCAGAGAACAGGAAAAAAAGGGGAGCAAGCAGTTTTCTTGCGTCTGGAGCAAAATTGAGCAGGAAGGATGAGAGCGGTCGGAGCGCGAGAAAGTCTGTCCCGGCCCCAAAGAAGAGCCAGAAGAAGAGGAAAGGGAAATCGAGGTCGGGCAGCGGAGGACACGATAAGGGGGGTAAGGACAAGGCGGGTAAGAAGAAGGGGCGGCTTCTCAAAAAGCGGGACAAACCCCGGGGCAACGGGAAGAACAGGCACTTGTTGATGTGAGTCTCAGAAATGAGGGGCAGAGGGGGAGGCGCGGATGTCTTTGAAAATTGAAAGAGAAAGAAAAATTGTGAAAAAAAAAAACAAACCCTTTTTGTCAACTGCATCTCTTTCGTTCCTCTCTGTTTTTTTTTTTCCAGTTTGTTTTTCTTTTTACTGAGTGAAAAAAGATTCTCTTTGCTGAGTGAAAAGAAAAAGGTGACATACCTTCCCCCTCCTATACTGAGTATAATATAACACACTTGTTTCCTTGATCCCTCCCTAGACTCTCATTTCCTTCCAATACTCTCATTTACCTCCTCATACTCTCGTCTCCTCCTCGCGATACTCTCGATCCTTCGCTACGCTGTCGCAATTCCTAAATCCCTCCTATACGCTCATTTCCACCCTATGCTGTCAATCCCCCCCTATACTCTGATGTCCTCCCTATGCTCTCATTTCCTCCCTATACTCTCATTTCCGCCCTATGCTGTCAATCCCCCCCTATACTCTAATTTCCTCCCTATGCTCGCAATCCCTCCCTATACTGTGTCATTTCCTCCCCTGTACTCTCATTCCCTCCCTATGTTCTCCCTCCCTGTACGCCCAAATAATTCGCCCACTTTCCTGAAACAGGGTCCTCGACTCCTCGCTTTCCATCCTCCCAGTTTACCAGCTAGCATACGCGTTGTTGTCATAGATTTTGTAAGTTAAGAGTTAATTTATTCCGTTTTTCACTAGGCTACCAGCCGGGCCGCCCGGGTCACCCTATTTTCCCGGGCGGCCCGGCCGTGCAAGGACCAGGGAAGGTCCCGGCCAGAAACCCCCCCAAAAAAAATCTGAAAAAAAAAACCATGTTATGCAGAAAACTAAATTGAACAACTTTTGCCTCAGGGTCACATCGAAATTCTGTACCGAATTAAAAAAAAAAAAAAATATATATATATATATACATTCTCTAAGATTTTTGATTCATTCTCATATCCTTCTACTAGATCAACTTTTTATATATTTTTTTTTTATTTTTTTTATTCCTTTTTGGCCCGGGCGGGCAAGTGGACCCGGGCCACTCTGGTAGCCTAGGTTTTTCACACAAATTTTGGATTTCCGTCTTTGGACGAAACGGATTTCACAAGTTTGCCTGTGTGCTATCAGGCAAAATTGCTGAAAAAATAGGTCCGTCGAGTGATGATAATGGGCCGCATTTGTCAAAATTTACGCGGAAGAAAAAGTAACTTGGCTAAGTCATTGTAGGTCGAGCTTTGATTTTCGCGACATGGAATTTTATGACATGACAGATCAAGATAAAGCCAATGAATCCAAGAGCGTGCAGAGCGAACTGATAGGCAAAAAACACGGGTACTGGTTCTGCTTATGGAACTGGTACTGAAACTGGTACTAGAGAATGGGACTGGAACTCGAACAGGAATTGGTACTAGAGAATGGGACTGGAACTCGACCCGGTGCTGGCAATGTAGGAACCAGAACTGTTGACGGAACTGGAACCTGAAACCGGAGACTGGAACTGAAACCTGGAACCATAGACTGGAACTGGAACCTGTAATCAGCGACTGGAAGTGGACCCTTGAACCAGAGCCCGGAACTGGAACCTGGAACCAGAACTGAAACCTGGAACCATAGACTGGAACTGGAACCTGTAATCAGCGACTCGAACTGGACCCTCGAACCAGAGCCTGGAACTGCAACCTGGAACCAGAGACTGGAACTGGAACTTGGAAGCTGAGACTGGAACCTGGAACCTGAGCCTGGAACTGGAGCCTGGAACTGGAACCTGGAACCGGAACCTGGAACCAGAGACTGGAGCTGGAGCCTCAAACCAGAGACTGGAACTGGAACTGGAGCCTGGAACCTGGAACTGGAACTGGAACCTGGAACCAGAGCCTGCAACCAGAGACTGGAACTGGAACCTGTAATCAGAGACTGGAACTGGAGCCTCGAACCAGAGACTGGAACTGGAACCTGGAAACAGGGACTGGAACTGGAACCTGGAACCTGGAACCTGGAACCTGGAATGGTGGGTAGTGACAATCAGAACTGGAACCCCGTTCCTTTCCCTGCCCTCCATTCCCCCCCCCCCTCTTCCTCTTATTCAGACTAACTGCCCGCTGCCATCTTCCCCCCCCCGAACATAACGTGTATGCTTCAGAGCTGGTCCCCGGTTGAACCGGGGGCCCCTCCCCGGACCGGGCTGGCCGACTCCCGGTTGAGTCCAGCGCATTGCACTAAGGGGGGGGGTACTAGGAAGTCACGGGCATACCCCCAAAAGTTGCCAGCCCCAAGGAGGCCCCTGCCTCTGTGGAAAAAAAAAAATCAGGGCATCCTGGACCTCATTTCTTAAGAAAAGCGGGCGGAGGATATCCACCGCTGATCTTTGCAGATCAGCAGCGGAGAACCGCCGCACATTTTTTCTTAAGATGTGTGTGGGTCATGTACGCCCCTTCTCCAATTTGTCCTCTTGTGGTCCAAAGGACCAGTTACCGTTGGTAGCATCTGATGCTCGTTCACCCTCAGCCACGAGGTGAACACTATGCTCGTGATGAGGCTCTGCTGAGATTTTATCCTCGTGCGACGTCCCTGCCATCTGTGGAAAAAGTTATGGGTTCGGATTTCGGAATCGTGATGTCAGAGCCGTCCGAGGTGCAATCCAAATAATGGACCTAAGCTATATTCTTCTCTCTATCTATCTGGAATGGACCTTGCTCCACTTTATGTAGCTGGACAGACTCTCGCAGTCTCTCAGGCAAGATGCTTCCATACTGATAACTCACCTTATGTAGAAAAGAACAAACAGAAAACGCTCTGCCCCCATGAGCTGACAGCTGGACCCATAACTCTTCTGCTGTCGAGCTACACTCTGGAAGAGCTATGTTCTGGCAAGGACCTCCTTTCATAATATGTGGTTCAGCTCGTGGGGTATCACTATCACATGACCTACTCCACGAAATGCTCCAGCCACGGGGGGGTCAGACAAGTGAACTTGCTTACTCGACCCCTCCCCGTGGAAGCCATAGTTGCCTGAATATGTCAATAATAACCCCCGCCCTCTGGAAGCCCCCTGAAAAATATTGGACCTTCAAAATTTTATTGCGGATTTCGACAGCTCTCGAAGAGAGCAGTCGGAATCTGCCAAAAAAAAAAAAGAAAAAAAAAAGAATATATCTGGGCACTTTTTTTTCAAAACCGGTTTCCCGTTTTAACCCCCCTGGGCTGGTCCGGCTCCGGTTGGACCGGAGTAACTCAACCGGCCAGTTGCCGGCCTAGCACTGGTATGCTTTGTATTTATTTTTATTTTTATTTTTAATAAATGCAGCTGTCTTCTCCTCATATGGGGGGCAGTTGTATTTTTACCTACCCTATTTTCTTCTCTCGCGCCTCACACTAGCTACGCATATCAGATGCCCTACTCACAAGCCCTACAAGGCAGCCACCCATATCTGTGCCCTACCCATAAGCCCTACAAGGCAGACAATGGATCACATCTATTCAGGAGAGAAGCAACTGCCCTTCTTCAAAACAGGGGACCAACCTTAAATCTACTAACCAAGCCTAAGCTATCCTAAGGTTATGGGTCTACTCCTACCTAACTCTGCTCTGTGGGGGGAGCAGCACCCAAGCTCCTACCACCCGTATGCGTCGTATTCGAGTTTTCAAAAAACTCGAAACTTCTAATAGAATGCATATGTGTTGTATTCGGAAATAAGGGCTTTTCGAATAGAACGCATATGCGTTGTGTTCGAATGGAAAGCAACCTACGCGCTGTATATTCGTTTACAGTGCATGTGCGTTATGTTCGAGGGAAGACGATAGCACAAGAGTCTCTTTAAAGAACTCGGCAGTGTACGATGAGGCCAGACTTCTCAACCTCATTGTATTGAATAGGATTCGAACTCTGGATTTGTTCATTAGCAGTTTTTGTGTGCACCATTCATCCACCAGCGCCTTGTACATGGAGGCAAGAGTTACATCTGGAGACTGGAATGAAACGTGTACCTGGATTTGTCAGCGAACCCAGATATAGCTGCAGTTAGAAGTCTTAACAACCAGTGGACCGAACCAACCGGCACTTGACCGAGTGAAACGGGACTGGATCGAACCGAATTGCACTGGGCTGAGCCTAACTGGACTGGACCAAACGGAACTGGACCGGGCGGAGCAAAACTGGACTGGAGCGAACTGAACTGGATTGGGCCATGCCAAACTGGACGCTGCACTGGACTGAACCAAGCCGAAGTGGACTAGGTTGAGTCAAACTGGACTGCACCGGACCGAACTGAAGTGGCTGGGTCGACTCAAACTGGACTGGACCGAACCGGACTGGATTGGATCAAACTGAACTGGACTGGGCTGAGCCAAACTGGAGCGGGCCAAACAGAACTGGACTGGGCCGACCCAAACTGGGCTGGAGCGAACCGAACTGGATTGGGCCATGCCAAGCCAAACTGAAGTGGACGGAACGAAACCGAACTGGACTGGGTCAAGTCAAACTGGCCTGAACAGAACCAAACTGGACTCGGCCGGAGCCAAACTGGACTGGATCGAACCGAATGACTGGATGGAACTGAACTGGACTGGGCTGAGCCAAACTGGACCGGACCAAATGGAACTGGACTGGGCTGAGCTAAATTGGAGTGGACCGAAGCGAACTGGATTGGGCCACGCCAAACTGGACTGGACCAAGCCGAACTAGACTGGACCAAACAGAACTGGAATGAACCGATCCAAACCGGACTGGATCGAACCGAACTCGACTGGGCTGTGAGCTAAACTGGACTGGACGAAACCGAACTGGACTGGGTCAAACTGGACTGGACCGAACCGAATTGGACTGGGCTGAGCCAAAATGGACTGGACCAAATGGAACTGGACTGCGCCAAGCTAAACTGGACTGGACCGAGCCGAATTGGGTTGGGCCATGCCAAACTGGACTCGACCGAGCCAAACTGGAATGGCCCAAACCGAACTGGACTGGGTCAAGTCAAACTGGCTGGACCGAACCGAATTGGACTGGATCAAACAGAACTGGACTGGGCTGAGCCAAACTGGACTGGACAAACGGAACTGGACTGGGCCGAGCTAAACTGGACTAGACCGAAGCGAACTGGATTGGACCACGCCAAACTGGACTGGACCAAACCGAACTGGAATGCCCCGAGCCAAACTGGATTGGATCCGACCAAACTGGACTGGTCTGAGCTAAACTGGACTGGACCAAACTGAACTGGACTGGACCGAACCGAACTGGACTGGGTCAAACTGGACTGGACCGAACCGAACTGGACCGAACCGAACTGGACTGGACCTAACCGACCTGGACTGGGCTGAGCCAAACTGGACAAACTGGACAAACTGGACTCGACCAAGCCAAACTGGGATGGACCAAACCAAACCAAACTGGCCACGTTTGTGTGGTTCAGCGCCAAGTGAGTTGTCTCTTATTTTCGTCCTCCTCTTTGGCAGTGACACGAGTGTGTAGTTTGAGATGAATGTCGGGAATGCCAATGCTGTTATATTTGATTGTTTTTGGTAAATGAGCTTTTGGTTTTGTGGCCCGATGTGGAAGTCTCTCCAAGTTCTTTCGGACCTTTGAGGGGGTTGGGTCGGGGCCTTCTTGCTGGAGTAGTCTTCCGTCTTAGGTATAAGTTTCCTTCTGCCCTCCATCCGCTTATGGGTTGCAATATATATGCATACATATGTATATGTGCAAGTGTGCCGCTTTGGCGGCAGACGGGTGTGTGGGCACTTGGCGCTGAACCACACAAACGTGGCCAAACTTGCATTTCCTATTATATTGCTTATCTATACTTTTTCGTTATGGATGACTTCTGATGATTTGTGAAGGGAATGAGAGAGAGAATCTGGGGTCTTTTAAAACAACACACACACACACACACACACAC